ATGCGGGACTCCATCCCAGGACCCTGGGATCATGACCTGAGCCACCCAGGTGCCCCAGAAACACACTTTAAATATAGAGAACTTATTCAAATATTATGTTCATTGTTTGTCTTCCCCCAGTAGGATGTAAACCCATGAAGACAAGGATTTTTATAATGTTGCTCTCTCTTTCTCAAGATCCTCAGACCTTAGAATAGAGCTTAGCACAGAGTAGCCATTTAAAATTGTTTGTCGAATGAATAATTAAATATTCCTTTTAGACCATAAGCTCAAGGCAGGGCCCATGTTTCCTACATCACTGTTTCCCCATGGCCTTTCTGTTAGAAATCCCTCAATAAACATTGGTAAAATGAATTTAAAAATTAAGAACAAAGGCATTTGCCTCACCACTATGGAATCAGGCTAAATTCACATGGAATTTCTTGCTGTTTTCCGAAAAGAAATTAAAACAAATAAAAAATTAAGTTAAGCCATTATCTATTAAACACTGAAATGGCTGCTGGACTATGGAGACATACATTTTAAGTTATCTATTATCTGCTCCCACCTCTACCAAAAAAAAAAAAGAAAGAAAGAAAGAAAGAAAAGAAAAGGGAAAAAAAAAAAACTATAAATGGAAACATTTTACCAGGTTTTTTATTTCTACTGGAGCAGATATCCCAGGTATTGATTACCAGATGGTCATGATAATGGCCATGAAACTTCATTAGCACTAAAAATGCTAGGCCCAGCAAAACGTTGCTTACAAGGTTTTAGGTTTCTTATACGATATACTGATAACATGAATTAAAATATCCTTTTAAGTATTCCCTGCCCTGATTTTATTCTTGCCTGTAGTTCCATGCATGAGAAAAAAGAATTCACCTTCCCATTGCAATCCAATATAGATTAAACCAATTTTATTTTTCCATAGAAAATGGAATTATTTTTAAAAACTAAAAAATGGGAAGTAATCTCAATTTCTTTTAAAAAAAATCTTTGACTAGCTCTGTATTTTGTGACTAATGCAGGCACAGGACCAAAAGCTAATATTGGGCTCAAAGTTGCCACATCCATGCTCATATTCATTGATCCCTTCCTTCTTCAGACACTAATGTAACATTGTAGAAATTAACATTTTTAACACTTTGAATTGGCTTATTACACACATACCAAAAAGGACACAAATCATAAATGCACAGCTCAATGAATTATCACAAAATGAACAATGGACACAGCTGTGTAACCAGAACCCAGGTCAAGGAGTAAAACATTATTAGCATCCCCAAGGATAACCTGGTCTCCCAACCACTAGGCCTTCCTCTCTCCCCAAAGATATTCCCTTTCCTGACCTCAAAGAAGATAGATAAATTTGTGCCTGCCTTTGTATTTCATATAAATAGTATCATGGAGTATGTGCAATTTTGGTCTTTGGCTTCTTTCACTCAATATTATATTTTTGTAGAGATTAACTTTTTATCTTAAATTGAAATCCTTATTGAATTTTGGGTGATAAAATATAATCAAATATCATCCCTGACCTCAGTCTCTTTACAAACATGAATTT